TTCCAACCATACCCACTTGAGGATGGCCTATATTTAACCAGGAGTCAGGGACCCTTCTGCAGTGAAGAACTATTACACATGGCCAAAGTAGGACCCAGGAGACTATCCAACATGACCTGTTGGACTGGGATTCCCATAGCAGTACTGAGATGTGATTCTAGAACTATGTTGGGCTTTCAGATCAGCTGGGGAGACTCAAATACACTCATAAATTTCCTGGATGACAGACAACACAGAATTACAGAATCAGAATTTAAGGGGACTAGGCCTCAGAATCTAATTTTTTAAAAAGTAACTGAAGTAGACAGCAAACAAATGGGCATGTGAGAACCACTGAATTAGAGAACCCACTGATGGTGGAGTGGATTAGGGGAGGACCTTCAAGAGTAGCCAAGGGTCTTGCCTCCATCTTTCTCTCTATCCTGTAGTTCTTTAAAGGAGGGGAAGAGAAGGCACAGGAAACAAAAGCCTTACACTGCTTTCAAAGGCAAAATGGTATACTATTAAAAAAAGAAAACTGTAGATGGCACCAGAACCAGAGTCGGGTGATCTCTGGTTCTGTCTGCATTTTTCTTTAAACAATCCAAGTCAGTGCTCATAGTGCAAAGACAAAGGATCTGAGGGTCAAAAGACTTGGGTTCAACCATCAAGTTTATCATTCACTAGCTGTATGGCCATGATCAAGCCTCTTAGTGTACTTCAGTGTTCTTAAAAAGACAGAAGCAAAAGTGAGGTAAGATTATAAACGAACCGGTAAGTCAAAGTGCTACACCAAAGTAAATTTAGAAGCCAGCCATCTTCTCAATCTCCAGTGCCTCTACTTCACTAATGACATACTTCCCTTCTTTGCTTTTCCATCATTTGAAATCAGTATCGTCTGTATTTATCACTCTTCCTTCTTTATGTCTGTATCATGGCCCCACAAAGCTTTACCTTGAGATTCCACCTACAACGATCTTTCTCCTCCCTGCTCAAATTTTTATCTTTATCATTCACTGTTTCGTTCTTTAATCACTGCATCTGTAGTAGATGTTTTCCCTACATAAGCTGTAATCTCTTCCATTTCACAGTCATTAATACAACAAAAATTTAGTGTGGCCTGTCAAGTGCCATGCACTGTTACAGGCACCTGAAGTGAAAAGAAAGACAAAAATCCCTGTCTCTGTGGAGCTTACATTCTAAGGCAGCAGCAGATATGGTATCTGCGGAGCATCAATTCCTACTCAATAGAGATAAATAAAGAAGTGAAAACAGGCCTGGCATAAAAAGGAGTTTGCCTGTAAAGGAGAAATTCCAGTGAGGGTGGGTGCCAGGGAATAAGGCAATTCTAGCGAAACAGGGTAAAGTGAATTAGTAGAAATGAACTGATCAGGAATGCAGGGTGGGAGGGACAGGGTGGACAGACAGACAAAAAACAAGAAACACAAATATGTAAATAAATATGTTAGAAGGTAAGTGCCTAAGAAAAAAGAAAACAGCGGGTGAAGGGATTTGGGCATGGGCTGCAATTCTGAAGACCAAGTATTTGAGACAGGTGGTTTGTGCTCATTAGCTCATCAATTATAAACTCTTACCAACTAACCTACCTTTGCCATACACACATACACAAGACCTTCTCTGAATCAATAGAGACAAAAAACAAAGAGAAAATCAGTAAATGTACAAATAAATCTGGAAAACAATTACAAACCACAGTCAACTAAATCCAGTTGAAGTACAAGGTAGCTCTGCTTTTGGAATCTAGCTTTACTCATTACCTAATTAGGAGTACTTACTTTAGAGCAGCTGCGTGAACTTTAGCCTATATCTACTGGGCTACAGAAACAGAGGGAAACCTTTGTCCTACTTTTTAATCATTTAAACAATTTAACTCAAGAAGATACCTACAAGACCTAAGACTACAGCAGTGGAGAGAGCTGGATTATGCTGACACAAATTTCAAATATGAAAATGCTACTATCATTTTAACAATCAACAGCTTTTCTCAATATTCACTCCTGGAGGAAAAGACAGGATTAAGGCAGTGAGGGTCAAATTTAAATATACAGTGTCTACTAAGGTATTTGCCTCCATTTCATGTCCTGTCTAATTATTTTACCACTTACATAATTAGGAATTTGGGTTTTGAGTAGGAGTGGGAATTAAACAAGATATTTTGATCAAGATGTGATTTTCATTTGACATAATTCAGTATAACACTCCTGGAGGAGGAATGGATTAAACATCAAGACTACAAATCAGTGTCAAGAACATTTAATCATCAGTCAGTAAATGTCCTAATCCCATTAAATGTTTGGCAATGCTTTGGTACAGACTTTTGGGGTCCAATTTGTTGAGTTTAAATGGCAATCCAGGTGTGCAGGAAATTTTAAATTCACTCTCTAGGCTTTTTTACCCCCAAATTTAAAAATTGCTGTTAAAAGGGGCAATAACTATAATAAACCATATTTTTTTACCCCCAAATTTAAAAATTGCTGTTAAAAGGGGCAATAACTATAATAAACCATATTTTCTTATTGGTGAAAACATAATGCAAAATATATACACGTTTGTGTGTATATATTTCTATACCAAAAACATAGAAAAACTACGCTTGTAACTTTCTACTACATACGTAAAATGTAAAAATTACTTTAAAAAAGTCTTAGATATACAGAATCACAGTTCTTCAGGGCAGGAAAGAGTTAATAATAGCTAACATTTATTAGTTAATATTAGTACTTTTGCCTTACACCTCAAATAATTCCTTCAAGGCTCAAAAGGTGGTATCTTTCTCCATTTCACAAATGAGAAAACAGACATGGAAATTTATTGCCCAAGGTCATCAGATGGTAAGGTCACCAAAGGATAAAGGCAGAGCCGGGGTTCAAACCCAGAAGTCAGACTCCGAATTTAATGCTTTTAATTGCGTTACCTTAAAATTAATGGAGAGGCAAGTTCAAAAATACACATTTGATATTTTTAAAATGGAAAATAGAGAAATCAAACTGTCAGGTAACATGACCAAATGCTAACAGTAGGTATGTGAGTAGTAAGAGAATGAGTGGTTCTTTTTTCTTAATCCCTTTCCCCTGTCTATACATTTCATTTTCTGTAGTCTTATGATTGGTGTACACACACACACACACACACACACACACACACACACACACACACACACACACACACACACACACACACACACACACACACACACACTCGTACTAACTAACGAACGAACAACAGTACGAACGAAACGAAACGAAACGAAACGAAAGAAATAACTAACCTACCTAACCTAACC